CCAATTTATACTTGGTTGATGCTGCCCCGGTGTGCACTTACGCGAAACACTCCACTTAGAGCTCTCTTATTAGATCACAGAAACAATTAAACTTCTGATCATGGCTTGTTACGTGTCTGTTGATGTTGACAAGATAATTATAATACTGTAACTAACATATGTAAATGCCTGATTAACTGTGCATGGCATCGACAAGGTAATTTAATAGCTTGACTAGGTTATGTAAATGCCTGATCAGTGATGAACTGTGTGTAGATATTGAGAAGATTCAATAAAAATAGTGTGCCTAATACAGTGTATGCTTTTTGCTTATTAGTGCAAGCAAGATGGGAAAAATCATTTTCAGACACCTTTTTTTTTTAATTTTAGTAGGAACATATATACTACAATTTAGTCCAGGAGCAAACTGCACATATCCAGCTTCCGTGGGATTTTTTGTGAAGGGAATGTGTGACTATGTGGAATCTCTTTACTATATGTCACATAATGGTGTAGTACCGGGTGTTTACCCTCAAATTGCGGGGTTTGGTTTTTATGACGTCGTAAATCCAAGATGGCCGCCATGTGTGACATCTATTCATTAAATTAATAATAACTCTTTTCAGAGTAAAATAATCGAATTTTAATTTACACCATTGAATTTAGCTAAAAAAATCAAACAATTTAGTGTTTTGAATCATTGCTCTGTGACCATTGGTTACCGAGATATTGAAGGCGGTAAACACAGAACATTGTCCCCATGTTATCCTTATGGGGAAAAAATAAAATTGTATATCTAGCTTATTACTCAGCATATCTTTAATAATAATTGGCATGTGGCTTCATTTATTAGAGATCTACTTGATTATGGCCTAAAATCCCCCATTTTTACATTCCCGTGGCAGCAAACCTGCATACTAACTTCCAATGTTATTCTTATGGATAATTTTTTGCATGCTTGTTTATGAACATACGTGTTGAGAAATGTTATTGAGTGGCCCCATTTTAATTATTTATTGAAGCATTTGCAATTCGTTGAGTATACAGGTCTGCTGCTACGGGTAGGTATGCTATAAACTAATTACAGGTATTAGAAAATAAAATAAATTAGACTATAGTTGTGAGGCATATCTAATTTTGTAGGATTTTGAAGCAATTGTATGATTGTTGGCGATAGATAGGTAATGACATGTAGAACCGTGTACTACCGAGTATTTTGTCTGAAAGTGTGGCCAGGCTGGTGTTTTTGGCCGCCATATTGGATACGAATAACTTTTTTATGCAATGCTAGTGTTGTGACACATCATTATGAACTAGATTTTCACGCTGATTTCAATGCTGAAATATGTTTTTAAATATATTGTTTTGTTTGGATGATATATTAAAAAAAAAAACTCTCCCCCATACATTTCTTACGGACGTTTCGTACTTCGGACATTTTTAAGATAATTTTTCTTATATCTCCAGTTCCTATTAACGTTTGCAGTTCGTTCTAGTCTTCAGATATTCAGTGATGTATGAGCTTTCATTTGAGCTATTGATCTTTAAATTCGGTCGAGTTAGAGCGTTAGAGTCGAGCTACGAACCCTAACACAATATTAAATTTAACTTATTACAAATCCGTTGTTATTAAAAGATGTATATCTCGGGTTGTTAATACGTCACTAAGTTCTTCCTGGTCTCAAATTACTTGGTTAATGTTTGATTTTACATTTTATTAATCACTGAATGAAATCTGACTAAGTTATTTTTAAATGAGTCATGAAACAATAAATTATTTAACATTAAATTATTTTTATGTCCAAAACTTTCTTTGGTTAAAGACATACAGGGCTGGTCATCAGTGTTACAATTTTTAGACGTGGAACCTCTTAGTCTTATATGCCTCATCACACATCATTTACTTTGTACTCACACCAAACAAATGTTGTAACCCTGATGACCAGCCCTGTATGTCTTTAATTGCTTTAACCAAAGACAAATTTCAAAATAAAAATAATTATTAATGTTAAATAAAGACCCATGACTAATTTTCAATTAGTCAGATTTCATTAAGTGATTAATAAAATTTTAAACCAAACATTTACTGAGTAATTTGAGACCAGAATGAACCTTTTGCCGTATTAACAACCCGAGATATAAATATTTTAATAAAAACTGATTTGGAAAAAGTTAAATTTAATATTTTGTTGTAGTGCATAGCTCAACTCTAACTCGTCCGATTTTAATTATCGATAGCTTAAATAAAAGCCCTTACATCACTAAATACTTTAAGACTACAACGAATTGCAAGCGATAATAAGAACTGGATATATGAGAAAAATAATCTGAAAAATTATCAAAGTACGAAACGTCCGTAAAAAATGGGGGGAGTTTTCATTTCAATATATCTTCGAAATGAAAAACGATATTTACACGGTTTTTGGAATTGAAATTAGCGTAAACATCTATAGTTTATAATAATGAGTCACAACACCAGCATTACATTAAAAAAAATTATATTAATATCCAATATGGTGGATCCAAGACGGCGGGCCAAAAACACCAGCTTGGCCACACTTTCAGACAAAACACCCGGTAGTACACGATTCTACATGTCATTACCTATCTATCACCACCAATCATACAATCACACGAAATTACATATGAACCAAAACTATAGTCTACCTATTTTATTTTATTTGATTCCTATAATTTGTGAGATTTTTTATAGCTACAATACCCCCGTAGCAGCTGACCTGTATACTCAACGAATTGCAAATGCTTCAATAAATAATTAAAATGGGGCCACACATCATAATTTCTCAAAGTATGTTCATGAACAAGCATGCAATAAATTGCCCATAAGAATAACATTGGAAGTTAGTATGCAGGTTTGCTGCCACGGGAATGTAAAAATGGGGGATTTTAGGCCATAATCAAGTAGATCTCTACTAAATGAAGCCACATACCAATTATTATTAAAGATATGCTGAGTAATAAGCTAGATATACAATTTTATTTTTTCCCCATAAGGATAACATGGGGACAATGTTCTGTGTTTACCGCCTTCAATATCTCGGTAACAAATGGTCACAGAGCAATGATTCAAAACACCAAATTGTTTGATTTTTTTTAGCTAAATTCAATGGTGTAAATTAAAATTCGATTATTTTACTCTGAAAAGAGTTATTATTAATTTAATGAATATATGTCACACATGGCGGCCATCTTGGATTTACTACGTCATAAAAACCAAACCCCGCAATTTGAGGGTAAACACCCGGTACTACACCATTATGTGACATATAATAAAGAGATTCCACATAGTCACACATTCCCTTCACAAAAAATCCCACAGAATACAGTTTGCCCCCCGACTAATTGGTTTTGTATAACTTATTGTTATGGTATCCATAAGGTCAGTTGCCTGAACATGATTTTAATTAAGTAATGTAATTTTGGTGAAAACTGAATAATACTAACACTCAAATAATACCTTAAACATTATTTAAAATTGGCCGAATGCAAACACATATTTACAATTAAACAAAAATGTATAACTGAGATTAGTTGTTGTTCTGCAACACGATAGTGAGTTGCTTTTGTTCCTTACAGATCATTCAAAGAGACTCTATTAGCTGCATCAGGAGACTGTTTATCAGTTTACTGGAGCAGGAAATTGAAAACACTTTCAAACGTCAAAAACGGGTGGCTCTGCAGAGAGAGTGCAACGTTCCTCTGAGAGAGAGAGGTTCTGATTTTATGTTTTTATAACAACCTTCACGCTGTTTAACCATAGAATAATGTCTTTGCTAGAGTAAAAACATATTTCACTAACCCAAATGTACCTATTCTCATACATAAAATGGAATCTCGGAGTACAGTATGATTACTTAAACTAGAATGTAAAAAGATGTGTTTTCTTTATAGGATACAAACAAATTCCTCTGTTCATAGATTGCATTTTCTTTCTTAAACCTGTAAAATAGGAAGCTCGATAATATAAAATACTTATAACTTTGCACTAGAAGAAATCCGTTAAAAGTTGGCCCGTCAATACAGTGTGTTAAGCTCTTGGTAAGTTCAATCTCGTTGGCGTGATATTCACCTTGATGTCGACTTTGGAGAACAAGATTCCTCCCTTAAGCAGTTTCTACACGACACAGACCATTATGTCCTATACTACACACCGTCACTCCTGATAGGCTCAATAGACCTAACTGATTTATAATCTTGCAATTATTACAACAAACACACAACAGATTAGTGGGATCATAGTAGGCCTAAATATTTCTTATTACCTAAATAAGAAATATCTTATTGGCCTAAATACTCTTATTTTTACAAAAATAAATATTTTTCCCTACTAGGATAATTTACACACTGTTCACCACACTAATTTACACACATCATCATCATAATCATGATATTGAGTTCTTTGAATGGATTTATATTCAGATTTATAATTAGTGACAATATAATATGTAACATCTTTGAATGTGTAGTAATAAAAATCGTCAATCTTGAATCACGTTTGCAATACCTTCATGCATAAATTACTATGTTGCCATCGTATATCTAATTTTAAGTTTCTACAACCAGGGCAATTATTCATGTATTTTTTTTAAGGAATTGGTCCAAAGCTAAAGCTATCTTCTTGTTACCATCTTAAATCAATATATGCATCACATCTTAACTTAGTAGTACTATACTAGCCCAATAGCAAAAGAATTTAGATTAAGAATTGATCTTTGCAATGATAGAAACAAATCAGCATCTTGGGAGTTGAAGTTGAGCTTTACAAACTATTAAGCCACCCTGTCAGTACATCTGCTAAATTATTGAATGATTGTGGGGTTAGTTTTAGACACTTAATGGTTTTTATAAATATGTAGGCAACAGGCCTATTTAAGAGGAAAGTTTTAACTTTGATCGAATAGTCAATAGTAGTACACTATACTGGACACTTCAATCCACACTTTTATAAAGAAACACAAAATAAAATACCTTGTTTCTATAGCAGCAAAATAAAATCAATATATTGTATACAAAATTGTAATTTTAAATTTCCTCACTTAAAAATGTCATCAAGGCTAGCTTTTATGGCCTTAAGGTCATTATTAAGATCCCGTAATCAACTTGCACTTCTGAGACAAGTTCAAGTAGCAGATAGTTCAAGTCTTGCGTCCAAACCAGTTCTGCTACCAAGAAGCCAACAACCATTCACTATCCACAAGTCTCTAGAGATGACCCAAGCAACTACTCTGAGTCCTACTGATGTACACCTGCGAGGACCTTGCCCCCCTCCACCACTGAAGTGCCCCCCACCTCCCTGCGCCTGTCCCCCACCACCTGAGGTAGTCACCATGGGCCAGCGGATGGTTAGACTCATGTGGTTCCTGACCAAGCTAGGAGTGTACTTAGCCGTGGTCAAGTTCACCATAGACGAGGGTCTCTGGGGCAATAGTCAGGAGACTGAACAACTCGCACAAAGGATAGGGTTGCTGTCTCAGGCAACCGGGGAGGATAGTAAGGAGGCAAAAGAGGTAACAGAAATATTCTAGTAAAGTAGTAAAATACATGCAGAAATAGACACCATTGTTCAGAGGTCTATTTCACAAACAAACGTCAATTTTTGTTTGATTTTGATCCTAGCTAATTCACAGTAGCTGGCCACGTTATTTGTTTGGTTAGCTGTAGAAACACGATTTATTTGTTAAAAAATCATTAGGTTTTAGTATTACGGTATTACTTAATTTATGCAACGCTTGATTTAAAAAAAAAACTAAGTTGCCAGAACTAAAATGTTACTGCGAGTGATATTATCATCTAACCTCTTCTCCATTATCCATCACTAGATCCCACCCCATCCCCTCAATTACATTTTAACAAACTCGCAAACACAATATAAATTAAATTACGTTGGTTGAAAAGATCCCCTTTGGAGAAGAGGTCCTGTAATACTGTTCTGGTTCAAATCATACTATGAATATAATGTATCTTCTATATTACAGACAGCTGAGACAGGGGTTTTCAATGATAATACTTGGATGGAAAGTAAAAAATGCCATTTTACCGACTACCTCTTTAATAAATTAACATACAAGTATTGTTTTTTTAAGCAGTAACTTGGAAATAACAGCTTGGTAATAATAATTCGGTTTTAAATGTTAAATTGATATTCTAAACGAATAAGTATTTTAAACAGTTTACCAGTTTGATTTTACTGCATACCGGTAGTCTAGGACTGCTATGGTAAGTGAAATGAGGGGACGTGTTTATAAAACTACTCAGACTAATATAAATATAGAACAAACAAGAAAAAATCTACTAGTACAAGAAAAAAAAACTCGAGATGAGTTTGCCCTCCAACAGGGGGAAAAGATTGAGTACTGGTACCTACAGTATATTTTTGTCAAAAAGTATACTATAAGTATACTACAAGGCAAACAAGAATTACCTAAATGGATACTCCAATGAAAATAGAGTCAAAACTACACTTTACAAACAATCTAAAAGCGAGTACCTAGTTTGGACAAATCACTTGCAATATATAAAACAATGAGGTACAGTTTAGTCACTATGTGAAAGTATAAATACAACTATAGGGCCTGCCAGGTTTAAATGAATTACTGTAGTATATACAACCATAAAGTCAGATGACAGGACTACATACAACATTACAAGAAGTTATGAACACTCGTCTCCTCCTTTCACCATCTACCATCTCTTCCCTCCCTCTCATATATTTAAAACTCACTATAACACAATATAAATTATATCATTTAAGAAAGTGTATAGATATAAAGTCAGATGCCAGGACTACAACATTACAAGAAGTTATGAACCCTCGTCTCCTCCCTTCACCATCTAATCCCTCCCTCTCATATATAACACAATATAAATTATATCATTTAAGAAAGTGTATAGATATAAAGTCAGATGCCAGGACTACAACATTACAAGAAGTTATGAACCCTCGTCTCCTCCCTTGACCATCTAATCCCTCCCTCTCATATATAACACAATATAAATTATATCATTTAAGAAAGTGTATAGATATAAAGTCAGATGCCAGGACTACAACATTACAAGAAGTTATGAACCCTCGTCTCCTCCCTTGACCATCTAATCCCTCCCTCTCATATATAACACAATATAAATTATATCATTTAAGAAAGTGAACTAACTGTTTGTAGATCATACACTTTAAGGAAATCGATGGAATTTCCTTAAAAGGTACTTTATATGGAGTTGTTTAGTTTTCCTAAAGACTTGAATGCATATAAGGTAAATCTTAGTACCTACTGTGTTGGATTGGCAATACTCTTAACAAAAAATCAGAATTATCAAATTAAATTAAACTCAAATGTTGTGTACTATTTGTTTTGTGAGGTATACGGAAAGATTGTGCCGTATACACAGTATGGTATGTTTCTGTATAAGCACAGCTTGCAGGAGTGTATAGTATAGTCCGTCTCTAGTCCCCAAGAGAGTATTGTCAACAGCACGTGTCTGTATCTGCAGCAACTCCATCTAATCATGTGAAGCACTACAATATTATTGTCCTGCACACTTGTTCATAGTTCATACTAATATTACAGTTGAATCTTGTACAGCTCCCAGGTTACTGTTTAGAAACAAATTTAGAGAATAGGTAACCTCACAGTTTTAATCTCGGTAGTTAAGTAAAAACATTAACATCTGACAACTGTATTGCTTGATTAATTGGTGCTGGAAATATCTGTGTTGACTTGCAAAGTGTTGTGTTTGCGATAGTTTATAAATTACTGTACACTGGTATAAGGATGGAAATACAGTAGCTTATTGTCTTTAATATAAAAAGATTTTAAGCTTACACATGAATGTTTACTTTGTTTAATTTAACACACTATCTAATTAAAAAACATACAGGCTTTTAAAGCTGACGAATAATATTGTTATATTCTAGCACTGTGTTATGATTTTCAGGGTCAAGATGGTAAAGGAAGCTCATCATCCCCCAAGGTGTTGTGGAACAAGTTGGTTTTGAAGGTTGGAGAAGTTATTGGTCTGAAACCATAACTTGACTCTAGTAAATTATATACGTTTTGTTTTAAACTTTATAAACTATTTAAAATCTATATTGCATGTGAAAGGCTTGAATATAATGATTTAGTACAAAATGTTGTGATATCATTGGCTAATAAGTTTTAAAAATTGTACCATCAACTCATTTTAGCGAATTCCCATATAGGGAATAAGCTATTACCGTAGTACTCATGGTAAGACCTGGACGCGGGACCGATTTTTTTTTTTCGTTTTGATGTCCCTAGAGGCCAAAAACACCATCCGTTCAAATTCATATATATATATGATATATATATATACGATATATATATATATATGATATATATATATATATAAATGGTTAAGTGTTTAATGTATTTTGAAGTTTGAAAATGGACTAATGTCCGAAACATGTCACTTCTTTTTATAAAATATAATATTCAGGGTGCTCAGTTGTACTTATTTACTTAAATATTTAATATATCAGCAGCCCTAATAAGTGAACACCTAAATTAAAATACTTATACAGGGTGTCCATAAAAAACGTTTCAGGACTTTGGGAAATGAATCCCCATACTAAAAGGAAGAAAAAAGTTTATGGGAAGGTATATCCGAAAATGCATATTGACCCAGATATCCGCCATTTTGTTTTTTATACAAAAATATTTTTATCTGTGAAGTTTTTTATTCGACGATTATGAAATTTGGTATACATGTTAACATACACAAGACCTATAATAGAAAAAATAATAAAGTTGTTCCGATTGTAAATTTCAAAATGGCGGCCGTTTTAATTTTTCTAACTTAAATAACTCAAAAACGGCTAATTCTACAAAAAAATGCCAAGAATACTTTTTTTTAGCATTTTTAATTCTCTATCAAACGATACCAAGATCAAAAAGATCGGACAAATGATAACTGAAATATAACGTTTTTTGTGTAAAAATAAGGCAAAAATTAAGGGTTCCCCGACTAACTTTGCCTTATTTTTACACAAAAAACGTTATATTTCAGTTATCATTTGTCCGATCTTTTTGATCTTGGTATCGTTTGTTAGGGAATTAAAAATGCTAAAAAAAAGTATTCTTGGCATTTTTTTGTAGAATTAGCCGTTTTTGAGTTATTTAAGTTAGAAAAATTAAAACGGCCGCCATTTTGAAATTTACAATCGGAACAACTTTATTATTTTTTCTATTATAGGTCTTGTGTATGTTAACATGTATACCAAATTTCATAATCGTCGAATAAAAAACTTCACAGATAAAAATATTTTTGTATAAAAAACAAAATGGCAGATATCTGGGTTAATATGCATTTTCGGACATACCTTCCCATTAACTTTTTTCTTCCTTTTAGTATGGGGATTCATTTCCCAAAGTCCTGAAACGTTTTTTATGGACACCCTGTATATATATATATATATATGTGTCCGTCAGCACGATAACTCGATCAAAAATGATCCGATTTTGATGAAATTTGGTACAAACGTGTAAACGTACGTTTATTCGAACGAGTTCGCGATCCAGCGTGATCGGACCATGGGAACGGGGGTTTACGGGGGGTTTTATGGGGTCAAAATAGGTTTTTCCCATTTTTGACCCAAAAAACATAAAATTTAGCAATTTCTTTCCAAACCATTTTGTAGAGCTTAAAAAACAAATAATTTAGTATATTGAAGCGTTATTATGCGCCTAATGGTTACGGAGAAAATTCCAAAAAATTTTAAATTTAAAATTCCCATGTTTTTTCTTATGGAGAATAAGTAAACTGTTGTAGTTTGCTTGTTTGTGAACATATTTTGATCAAATTTGGAAAATGTTTTTATTTCTTACTAACTATTCACATTTTACAAACAAAAAAAACAGTTTTACCCTCCCTGATGCAGCAAACCTAAGTACTTGTTAAACTAATTCTATTTAAATCAAGAATAAATGTTATATTTTTAAATAGACATTTCACTGTAAATCCAATCAGTCAAATGGAAATTCGCTTAGTCTGCAGGTTTGCTGCGGCGGGGGTATTTAGAATTAAATTTCAATTTATCGATTCATTGGCTTTAAATAGAATTAACTGTGTATAATTATTTGAGTATGTAATCATCCTTAAAGCTAGAATACAATGGAAACTCCATGTACAGTATCTAAACTTAAATTTTTTTAATTACAATACAAAATTGATGGTAAAAGAAAAGAAAGGGTTCACAATAAAAGTTTACAAAGAGTGGGAAATGAATTTACTAAATAAAGCTTTAGGCTTAGCCTATTACAATAATTCTAATTTAGGTTCAGGGATTAAATTGCATGGATCTTTATCTCAGGAGGGTGATCTAGCACTTGAATTTAATCTTGTGATTATACAGCCTAATTTAATTTTGTTTGGAAATATAAATTTATGTTAAAATAATTTTCTGATTGTTGGATTAAAATTCTGAATGAGATTCTGCTAATTTCTTGACTTTGAATGTAAGTACAAATGTTCAAAAATTAGGCCTAGAAATGTTCTAATGGCTTCCAAGGAAGGAAAATGTTTACTGGAGTGATCTCACCAAAATTATTGTCTTCTTCACAGTTAAATTTCTTGATGTTGTAATTATTAATGTTTGTAACAAGGAGGAATCTTCTTTAATCAAATTTCACTAATTTATTCCAAATAACTTATAGGCACTTTTTTATAAATTTTGATATTAAAATATGAAGTTTACAATTTACATCTTCACATTAGCTCAGCTCTATTGGAAGTCAGGAAGGTTTGATGCATTGTTGCACTCCACATGTCAATGCTGACCTGATCACAGAAAATTGTAGGCCACTGTTCACACATATATTATAAAAATTTTCATTAGCTAGAGAGCTAAATTTGAATTTTGAAAAGTTATTTAGGTAAAATTACATTGAATTTGAAGCAATTTTGTTACAAAGAGTTAAAGGCTATTATATATATCCATGAAATTAGGTTATTAGAAAATTTTCTATATTATATTGTATTTTTTGGATCAATTACCTATTGGTCTATTTGGCCATATGTTATTTAAGGTTTGATAAAGGGAGATGGATTGACGTATTGATAAAAATAAAAACATACGGTAAAAATTAAATTATATTTTATTGAAATATATCAGTGAAAATATTGAATTGTTACAAGTAGGCTACATGTCAGTGACATTTTGTAGCTATCAAAAACATTACGGTAACACTTTTACTTAGAAAATGTTCTAACAGAAAAACATTGTGTTGACTTGACAGTAAAACTAAAAATACTGTATACATCTGATCCAGAAGTTAAGTCTTAGTGAAATTCATAGTCGTTGAACAGGAAAAAATTACTTAATCTTCTGGATTCTTTGCTTTAAAGCTGCACTCTGTACATCTTTTGTGATGATAAATGTAGTTTTATGTAAATTAAATTAGTACTGTAGCTTAATTAATAAATCAAAAAGTAAACAAATAAAAAAAAGTCAAAACAATAAAAAGTGCCTGAAAGTATGTGTAAGTGTTAATAGACGTAATTTTTTGTACTTTCAGGTAATTTAATAACACGTACGACGCTGATCAAGAAGTTATTTAATAAAAAGTAGTACAGTAATTTATTATAGTGAATTTTGTTCTTAACAATTTAAAAGTTACTTACAGTACAATAACAAATTCTGTCCATCCCATCATTGATACGATTGATCCTCTATTGCCACTAAACTAACTTGCACTACTAACAAGAACAGTGACAAATAACTGGGGTTTTGAATGTGACTGGAGTAGTGCTCAGTAAATACATGCAGAGAACTTGTTTCTACAACTTTTTGAACTACGGAACTAGAAGTGTTATAATGATAAAATTAATATCCAACCGATGCAGTGCTTTTGTACAAAGTCATGTGATAGGACTACAACATTACAATGAGTTGTGAACCCTCATCTCCTCCCTTGACCATCTCTTCCCTTCCTCTCATATAAATTATATAACGTTAATCAACAAAATTTATTATTTTGTCCCAATAACAAAACATTTCGTTACAAAGGCAGGTTGGAGATTGTTGTATCAATTACATACAGGGTTTTTTTTTATTAAAAACTTGGATGGAAAATAAAGTGTACCAATTTATTTACTTCTATTGGCAGGCTCTCATACATGTATAATATAGCAGGTTACAAAACCAAAGAGCACATGAAAATATGCAAATAAGTCTTGTTTTAAAACACATTAATAGCATTTTAATAGTAACTATAAATAGTTCTAGAGTATAGAAACATTTTAATAGTAATGAATAGTTAAAATAATATTTCTAAATTAGTGTTTGTTCATATATATGAGAGCCTGCTAATAAAGGTACACCAGGATTTTAATAAATAAAATATTGCATTTTTATTTCAGTAGTGTTTTATTCAATTCATCCATATTAGGAATTCATAAAACAATGTCTGAACTTTAGCAATTAATACCTATGATATATAAATGCAATTCATCTGGAATACAAATACTGTTATTTATGAACAATATATTAAAACTAAATTTCACAGTTGGAATGCTGAGAATGATTTGTGCTCTGTTAGTTCCCTACACTCAACAGAGAACATAATTTAACTAAATGACTAGCATATTGACTAGGAATCTTACAAATTCTGTTGCTAAGCGACTTTATGCCTATGACTTAAGAACTTAATGTGATCTTTGTAAGCACTGTAGGAAAACATTCTACCTACAGTACTTTTAAGATGAGTTACCAATTGAGGGTTTTAATCAACAGCAGTGAGTGCCTCCCGGAAGTATAGTGGGGCATGTGCTGTTTATCAAAACACTTTGATTTCTCAAGGGAATAATCTTTGTGCAGGGTGGAACCTTGGCCCTAATGCCTCAGTTACCTAAATAAAATTAGTTTGTCTGTAAATAAACAATTATATCAATATTTACAACAAACTGGGTAGACTAATATGATTCAAGACTAGTATTGTTACTATTGTCATGAACATTTTCAAATCATCCACAAATAAATGTTAGCTTTGGTGTAAGTGTAGCGAGGTAGTCTTGTATCCTAATTTAATTTTTAGAGAATCCCAAAACATTGTTTGGACTTTATCTGAAACATTAACAAAACACTAAAAAAATGAACTGCCTAAAGAGGACG